TGCTCATAGCAACTTACAACGCATGAGCAGATGCGTTGTAAATTGCTATGAGCAGCGTTAAACTTAAAAAAAGTGAAAATTACCATACTTCTTTTGTGCGAGATTATGGTGCTTCATCGGATGAGCTTGCCCATTCGTGCAACAGCAGTTACAGCTGCATGGCTCTACCACCCTTGATGGTGCTCTTTTAAGTAGTAAACCCACACTCGCTCTGTAAAAGCCTATTCGCCTTGATCTCGAAGAGATGCTGCAATCTCAAATCCGGATGAAAAGTATCTGTTGTCTTTAGTCAATATTATGACGATTTTCTTTATTGAACCATTCATATGATTTCAGCTCCTTTCGCGCGGTGGTAGGCTCAAACAGATGGGACTCTGACGCCATCGTCGCCAAATTCAGCCATTACCTTAATCATCCGGAATGGGACTGGAGTACAATCAAAAACGACATCGGAATTCTGTATCTCACTGAGGAGTTGAAGCTCAGCAGTACAGTGGCCGTCATTGCCTTGAGCTTTAAATGGATAGATGGCGGTGAGAAGAGCTACGCGACAGGTTGGGGAAGACTGGGGGTAAGGAGAGCTATTACTGATAACTAAATAAGACATCTCTATTGCATCCAAAGCTGATAGTAGCCGTGGTTAATGAGTTAAAGACTTCGTACCTCAGTCCTAGCTGAGACCACAGTTGTTTCAAAAGTTGACTGTCTCTCTGTAGACACAGATATCATCCTCAATGCTATATCCAGTAATAATTTTAGAAATAAGTCGACAGGCGTTATCGGAGTGAATTTATCAAAACAGAGCTTTAAGTGAATAATTATTAAATTGCATTTTTTCCAGGCTTGGGATCCAATTCCCGATTACCTGCAGCTGCTTTACCTGGAGACCATTTCTGCCAAGGAGTGCGCTAAGGGTATACGCGAGGCTTCCACGTGGTGGGGCTCCTCACCTCCTTTGGACCCTAAAATAGAGATATGCACTTTCCATTCGCCGGGACACGGCATGTGCAATGTAAGTAATATTTATAAAGTCTTATCATTGCCAACATTTTGTCGTGGACTAGTTTGTTTCAACATTCCACCCTTAATCCATCTAATATTTTATCAAATTTACCAAAGTATTTTTGGGGAGGATGCTATCTAACAAGGTGGAGTTCAATAAATAATGTTATTATTATGTTTAAGCGATGGCTTTCATGGAAATTTTACTTTCGAGTAGAACTTTTTTGGAACTACACTAAGACATAACCGTAAAATTGATTAATGTCATTTTTGTAGGGAGATTCTGGCAGTGCGTTGGTTTCCCAGAAGACAGGACATCAGACCGGAATAGTGTCGTGGGGCTTCCCATGCGCCCGTGGGGCTCCCGACGTGTTCGTCAGAATAAGCGGCTTCAAAGAATTCCTCCTCCAAAACTTGGGGAAGAATATTAGTTATATTGAATAGTAATCTAAGACCAAACACTGTTATTTAAAGTAATTTATTGTTTTACGATTTAAAAACGTGTAAATAAATACCTAAAAGAAAATGTTTTTGTTCTTTTACTCTTTCTACCAAAAGATGTAAATTGCAAATGATGTATTATCAAAACATTTATATTCCAAATATTAAATCGTATCTATAACGAGTTACACAAATAAAAAAAATGTGTAGTAGACTAAATATCCACCTAATAGGCCGCATGGCAGACCTAGATTTTTAAGATTAGACAGCAACTTGTGCATGTTTAATTGTACGATATTTAATTCATTCTGTTCTCACCCATTCGCTCCCACCACCTTACGATAAATTAGTTTCTACCGTTTAAGGCATGTCCCGCATTCGAAACAAGATTTGCGGATCATGTAAACCTTTGTTCGAATACGGTAATCGAACCCAAACTGGTCATAGTCATAATCGGGCTGTCCGCGATATAAAGTAACAAAAATAATTAGGACAGCTACGAGTGACATTTGTCTGATATAGTGCGTCAGGAAACTGAGTATTTCATCCTTTTAGGTGATGTAATTACTTGTACTGACACCAAAGTTGACAAAGCATGGTTACCTGCCGAGTGTGCGCTGGCTTTTAAAATAAGAATATACGGGGAGTCTTTTTGAAAAGTGGCCAAATTTTCACAGGAGGTTCAGACTCGGTAGTATAATTGTTTAATGAATTAAAAACAAACTTTTTTTTTTTTTTCAAAAAAATTGCCATACTATTCCCTAAAAAACAGAACTTGTTGACAATGCGGTAGTCATTCATAAATACCCAAATTTACTGTGCACGCACACATAGCGCTCGCGATAAATCGGAGACAACCCGTGCCGGTACGGCGGCGGCGGTCAAAGCGTTACGTCATAAAACTTCGTTCTCTTCCCTCCTGCCCGCGATGTCCGCTCTATGCAGCCGCTGCCCGCTGCCCTTCGTTAGTTTCAATTTGACCGTGACCTAATTAAGGTTTTTATTTATGTGAGAAACTGGCAAACGAACTAGCGGTTCACCTGATGTTAAGTGATAACCGCCTGCCCATGGACATCTGCTTCACCATAGGGTTCCAGATGCGTTGACAACCTTTTGAAAATCGGGCTCCGGCTACCTCACTACCTCACACGAAACGCAGAAATGGAACACTTCTACTTTACGCCGGTCATCTGTGAGGTCGTGGTACTAACCCGGACGGACCTGCCCATTCGTGCAACAGCGAACACTGTTGCGTGGCCCTACCACCGTAAACTTAGTCGCGCGTGCTATTTTTATATTTGCTTATCTCTAACGATGTCGAAACAACAACGCAGTTATTAGAACCGCGAGTATTACGAGATGGTACGGTGCTACATTTTAAGTGGTGAAAGTTTACTGGGTGCGCAAATTATAATTACTTAAATATACTTTTCTTTTGTAAATAACATACATATTATACATATATAAACACCCAGACACTAGAAAAACACTATGTTCATGTTCATCACACAATGTTTTTCCAGTAGTGGGGATCGAACCCACACCCTCTGGCGCAAGAGGCAGGTACACTACCCACTACGCCATCGGGTCGTCAACTCCATTTGAACAGTTGGTAAAATATCAGTGAGTGTTTTTTGTGACTAAATGAATAGGTAAGTTTAATTGTTGTAAATAGATGATTCCACTTTTTAAATACGCCATAATAACTACGAACAATAGTGTGTGATTTTAAAATAATAAAGTAGTATTTTAGTATTATGGCGATCTTTTATTATGACGGTCCTAAACCCGTGCTAAGTATGGAGGAAAATTGGAATCATAAACTTACTTGGGCTATGATACGCGTGTAGTAACAAACTTTAGTTGTGTGCGTGTCACAATGTATATAGATAGGTGTCGACAATTACGCGTCGCATACTTTTGAAACGAACTTGTGTGCGTATTAGTTATGAATAATCGCGCGTAAAATAAACGAGTTGCGTATAAATCACGCACTTTTTGAGATAAGTTCAAATGAATGTAATTAATTACTTACAAGTGATTTTAAATATTTATCAAATTTAATTTAAAAAAATGGATACACTTAGAAAAGCCTCCCTGTATAATAATTTTAAATACGCTGTAAAAGTCCGAATCTTTAATTCTAACAAAGAACCTTTAACTGGACCACAGATCCTACGCATAAGTACTACAACTCTGGTTCCAACCTTATATAAAGTATTATCTCAAAACCTTCTACTCAACCATTTTATAGCTGAGCTTTTTAGTCACTACACAGAGTGGTAGAAGCCAATATCCAACATCTGCCGCCAAATACTGATGGTGATATCAAATGCCTATGGTGATAAAACAGGATGGACCATTGGCTCTTGCAAACAAAGAGACTACAAATTTCTTTGGATTTCTATTTGCCTGCAATTCTTTATTAAACTCTAGAAAGCAAGCAACATTCATACCCATTTATAGTTCCACTACGCTATAGATACAGATATGAAATCGACAGGTTTTGAAAGCCTTAAGAGTGTACGTTAGATAGTGCACCAAACGGCATACCTAATGGCTTTCAAAACCTCTCTATTTTATATCTATAGCGTAGTGGAACTACTAATAGGGCGTGAACGTTGCAAACATTCTATAGACTGATAGTGAATTATTGGCCAATGGAAATGCAGTTTTTGAAGTAAAAACTTTTTTAACATCGCGTTGAGCACTTCCGGGGCTAACAAAAACCTTGAAGGAAAAAGAAGGAAAAATCGTCGTCTTCACCGAACGCTTCCTTACTATACTGTGTATGTATGTGTACTTTTTGAGTGAACAAAAATCATGGAACTTGCGTAACTGTCACCAAACGCTTTTTATTTATTTTCAGCCTTTGGGTTTGTTTGATCACCATATTCGAACAGAGGTTTATATGATCCGCAAACAGTTGTTCCAAGCTTGATTGTATGCTGTGATTTCATGATTGTCAGAACTCCGCGGCACGCCGGCTATCGTACGGGAGTTCTTTTCACACGGACAAAGCAATGGCACTAGCAATAGCTTGATGTCGTGTGATGCTAACTGTGGTGACCTTACTGAGAAATGCATTGTTGTCGGATGGAGACACTGAAGCGGAGAAATTCTTCCAGTCCTTTACTGTGAATGATAAAGCGACCCTCTTGTTTCGAATGCGGCACATGCCTTAAAAGGGTAGAAAAGGCTAGTTGAGCGTAAGGTGGTGGGAGCGAATGGGAGAGAATAGAATTAATTAAATATTGTACAATCTAATATGCATAAAATGTTGCCTAAAATAAAAATCTGGGTCTGCCATGGGGCCTATTAGTCGGATATTTTGACCAGTATACATTTTTTTTATTTGTATTTATAGATACGATTTAATATTTGAAATAAAAATGTGTTAATAATACATCATTTATAATTTATATGTTTTGGGAAGAAATAAAATAAATAAAAAAGTAAAAGAACAAAAACATTTGCTTATAAGTATTTATTCACAAGTTTTTAAATCGTAACGTAGTCAGTTACCTTCAATAACAGTGTTTGGTCATAGATTACTATTCAATATAACTAATATTCTTCCCCAAGTTTTGGAGGAGGAATTCTTTGAAGCCGCTTATTCTGACGAACACGTCGGGAGCCCCACGGGCGCATGGGAAGCCCCACGACACTATTCCGGTCTGATGTCCTGTCTTCTGGGAAACCAACGCACTGCCAGAATCTCCCTACAAAAATTACATTAATCAATTTTACGGTTATGTCTTAGTGTAGTTCCAAAAAAGTTCTACTCGAAAGTAAAATTTCCATGAAAGCCATCGCTTAAACATAATAATAACATTATTTATTGAACTCCACCTTGTTAAATGGTGGTAAATTTGACAAATATTAGATGGATTAAGGTTGGAATGTTGAAACAAACTTGTCATTAACAGCAATAATCAGACTTTATAAATATTACTTACATTGCACATGCCGTGTCCCGGCGAATGGAAAGTGCATATCTCTACTTTAGGGTCCAAAGGAGGTGAGGAGCCCCACCACGTGGAAGCCTCGCGTATACCCTCAGCGCACTCCTTAGAAGAAATGGTCTCCAGATAAAGCAGCTGCAGGTAATCGGGAATTGGATCCCAAGCCTGGAAAAAATGCAATTTAATAATTATTCACTTAAAGCTGTTTTGATAAATTTACTCCGTTTATGCCTGTTGACTTATTTAGAATATTACTGCCGAATATAGTATACATTGAAGATGATACTCCAGACTTTGACTCTGTCTATAAAGAGACGAGTTAACCTTTGCGAAATCTGTGGTCTCAGGCTGGACTGAAGTACGATGTCCTCGACTCATTGTTAACCACGCCTACTATCAGCTTTGGATGCAAAAGAGATGTCTTTATTTAGTTATCAGTAATAGGTCTCCTTACCCCCAATCTTCCCCAACCTGTCGCGTAGCTCTTCTCACCGCCATCTATCCATTTAAAGCTCAAGGCAATGACGGCCACTGTACTGCTGAGATTCAACTCCTCAGTGAGATACAGAATTCCGATGTCGTTTTTGATAGTACTCCAGTCCCATTCCGGATGATTAACGTAATGGCTGAATTTGGCGACGATGGCGTCAGAGTCCCATCTGTTTGAGCCTACCACCGCGCGAAAGGAGCTGAAATCATATGAATGATTCAATTAAGAAAATAATTCAATAAAGAAAATCATCATAATATTGACTAAAGACAACATATACGTTTTATCAGGATTTTAGATTGCAGCAGCTCTCTAAGGCGAACAGGTTTTTACAGAGCTAGTGGGTTTATAAGAGCACCATCAAGGGTGGTAGAGCCATGGCTGCATGCAGCTGATTCTGCTATTGCATGAATAGGCAGGCTCGTCTGGTGAAGTAGCTTGGCCTCACACAATAAGAGTCAGGTAAGTTCCACTTTTTTTAAGTAGAGAGCAGCGGTGTCACTAGTCATCAGGTCAACAGCTGGCTCGCATGGCAAATTTTCATTTTTTTAATGTGTAAACTTGCCAAGCGAGCTGACGATTCACCTGATGTTAAGTGAATACCGCCGCCCATGGACATCTGCTTCACCATAGGGTTCCAGATGCGTTAACAACCTTTTGAAAATCGAGCTCCGGCTACCTCACTCACCAGACGAAACGCGAAAGTATCATACTTCCACTTCACGCTGCTCTTCTGTGAGGTCGTGGTACTTACCCGGACGAGCGTGCCCATACGTGCAACAGCCGAGGCTGCTGCGTGGCCCTACCACCGATAAAATATCATACATAAACCTTCAGATAATTAACTGCTTGGAGGCTACTCACGGATATAACTGACCACCCCACATGACCATCGGGTCTATGCAATGGGCGGCGGTGAGTATGTGCCGTTTGGAGACTATCGAGCCACCGCATATGAGGCCTTTGAAGGTGTCACCAAAAATTAGGGCGGCCATATGAGGTGCGTACCCAGGGGGCGCTTGCACTCCGCCCACTATCCGCGACGTGCTGCCACCATCCGTCATCTCGAAGGGATGCCCTGCGAATAAGGTGCGTTGCAAGTGAGAAACTCATCATCTTGTTCATCGTCATTTCAGCCTGTCCATTGGAATGCTGAACAAAGGCCTCCCCCATAGACTCCAGGAAGCAAGATCCTGAGCTACCTGAATCCATCAACATCCTGAACATTTGCACAGGTCGTCACTCCACCTCTTGGGCGGATGTCCTACACTGCTTGATGTTATTTAATATGTCCCAGCCGTGGCAAGTGACAAGCCTGACGACTTACACAGAGTAGAGGCGAAAGTGAAAGAAGATAAGTCACTGATGCTGCGAGTTAAGTTCCAGTCCAGCTATCACCTCTAACCAGATTCAGTTCTAAGCCGTTAAGTAACCTATTTCTTATTTACCAGTAACAGCAACTCCAAGCGCTGCAATTGCGAGTGTTGCCAACATTGTACTACCCTTGATTGAGAGAAAGTGTTGCTTTCGATTTAAATCAATCCATATTTATACTAAATCATAATTTCCAGTATCTACGGTATCAGCGGATTTATTTTCTTATAATGAACTTAAACAACAGCGCGTCCGTGACTTTGAAATAAGTGAGATAAAGAAACCGCTATTAATTAAATAAACATTAACAGAATAGTCCTTGAACTAATTGCAATACGGCGATACAAGTCTGTTTTGAAATTAATCAGTCGTAACATAAATCAATGAACTTTTTTTTTTTTTATGGAAACATTTTAATACAGACGAATACGAAGAAATGGCAAACATGAAATAGACGACTCAGAAAACGTTCATTTAATTTAAATGGAAACAGTTTTCTGTACCAAACATATAAAAAGATTTTTGGCACAACTATACAGAAATATATTACTGACGCCATCTTAGGCCATACGGGGGCGCTTGGGCACACAAGAATTTGGAGGCCGGTTGGGAAGCATGGATTTTATTTATTCCTGAAATTTTATAGTTATCCAGATAGAGCACTTCGTGTCCAGTGGAAAATATTATATGATAGGTTATCATTTGGGCATTTAAAAATACTGTCTCTATATCTGTGATATTAAATACATGGCCTGATTTAAACATTTTGCGGCCATAAATACATTATGCCCATTAACGCGATCATGCTTGGGCTTTTCAAACAAATTGTCGAATTTTAGATTTCTAAAGAGTAATTAATCGATTATTAATTAGTTCCAAATCTAAAAATTGGAGAGTTAAAAATATAAAATTAATAAAATTTTAAACCGATATTTAATTATATTTTCCAATTTTATTTTTTTTATTTTTAAGTTTAAAAAAGTTACTTCTGAGAGCATGCACTTCTACAGTAGTATGTACTATACTTTTTTATTAAACGTTTTTCAGCACAGTCTCTATGTCACGTTTTCTATCAAACTCGAAGATGAAAACAATGAGTCAGTTTATACTTTTTAATTTAAATTCATATAAAAGTTATGCATATTCGGTAAGAATATTTATTATGTCCTGTTAAACAATATTGAGACGATATCTGATAACCATTCGAGTTCTTTTCATAGGCGTCTTGATTTTTGTTAGTTTTCTTAAAATTATCATTTTGTAAATAAAACATGTGAAATTGTTTAAAGCTGTAGTTCCTGATGAACTTTCTTTTTTTAATGATATTTTTTAATTTAACACAGACGAATATAAAGCAAAGACAAACAGGAAACAGGAAAAAAAATACTGTTTATCTGTTCACAAGGCAAGTAAGCTGACTGATGTTAGTGTTAAACGTCGACTATTGACATGTGCCACACCTGTAGGGTTGCAGATGCTTTGCCACCTTTTAATAAAGCGCGCCGCGGGTACCTCACTCACCAGACGAATCGCAGAAGTATAACACTTTCGCTTCACGCCGGTTTTCTGTGAGATCGTGATCCTTACCCGTGCGTGACGTGTGCCACGCGGGCGAAAAGCTAGTTATCAATGAAAACGGCTAAACAATAATGTCTGTTGTAAGGGTAATAATTATAATAATTCTTGCTTATATAGTTTCAACAGAAATACATCATCTGTGAAAATTTCAACTGTCTAACTGTCACGGTTCATGAGCCTGGTGATAGACGTAGAGACAGACAGGAAACAGGAAACAATTTTCTCTTGGATACAAAACATTTGTATTGGATACATAAATTGTTAATAATAACAATAAATTATAAAATTCTTTATTTGCAAGGATATGGTTTACAATAAGATATTCATATATTTAGAGTCACATATTCTGCTTAAGAGCGTGCAAATCTTATGACTAGTACCTAATGTTACAATTAACTATTAGAATTAGGACAGAGAGGGGATTCTCAGTAATAGGGTTTCGTATTACACTTTGGGTACGAAACCCTAATATATATAAAACCTAATACGATAAAGGTATAAAAGATTGTGTATACGAGTATTTGGTAAAAATACTCATTACGTCCTTCGAGTAATTTTAAACAATATTGAAATTGATAAAAAGATGAAGATCTGCAAAAGCGTCGTGAGCGAAAGCGGTCGCGTGAGGTTCAAGAAAATTGTAAAAGGTAAATATAAGAATAACGGCCCTTACCTAAATACCTACGCACTAGCGGTTAGCCGCGGGAGCGGCTAGCCGCGCGGTTAGGCGCTTTTACAGTTTAATATGCAACCGCCTGTGATTGTACGCACTTAACCGCCATGAATTTTCAACCGCGTCGGTTGAATGAAGAGGCGCGGCCCGCTTCGCGGCAGACCGCCAGCTTGTTTATACGCACTGGAGGTTCAGATAGCGGCGTGCCGCCGAAAAGTTTGTACGTTTGACGCGCTGCCATGAGCTTCGACACAGAGAAATTTATACTTGAAATTGAACAAAGAGAAGCTATTTGGAATAGTGAAGGAGCAGTTTATAAAAATAGATATTTAAAACGGAAACAATGGGAGGAAAAAAAAAGAACTTGCAAACTGGCCTCATTTATTACGTGTTTCTAATAAAGGATGAACGCAGTATCGTTATTTATTTTTCTTTCGTTTTACTTAATTTCGGTAAAATTCGCTAATGAAGGCAACAAGTTTTCGAGCCGTCCAACCGCCTTACTTGGTTGCATCGCGGTTGGCCGCCGTAGCGGTCAACCGCGATGCAACCGGCGCGAGCTTCAGGCGGCTGGACGCTAAAACGAACCGCCTAGGCGGCTGGACGCTAAAACGAACCGCCTAGGCCGCTAACCGCTAGTGCGTAACGGGCATAAGAACACCTAGCCCAGCAAGTATATCAAATCCAGAATTATTTAGCGTGCGGTGGCTATGAGTTGGTACCCGCATGGTCTCGAGCAACTCGTCTCAAGTTGGCACAATTTTCAAACGAGGTAGCCGGTTATTTGATTTGATGACAAGTCACTAAAAACCGCCCGTTTCATAAATCTCTTTTGACAATTGGAACGTGTTACAACAACAATTTAAATGTGTCAGTGTTACAAAAATTGAACGAACGTCCGTTATTCTGTTATAAAAAAGTTTTATATCGCTAACGATGTTCTCTGAGTTGGAAGTGAATGATGTGATTAGACACTTTAAGAAAGTAAACACTTTGACTGCAACAGTTAGATCCTTATATCGGGCTTCGATATAATCGGGCAGAAATGCGCGAGACCACGAAATAGAAAACAGTGTCTCTGTTCCGTGAGTGAGATGACTATGTTTTGTATATATATGTTTTAAAATATAATATATTTTGTATTGTGTATGTGTCGATAATACTTCATTAGTGATTTGTAACCTTCGTGCGTTATAAAGGAATGAAATAACAAAAACATTTTCTTATAAGGCTTTATTTCCACGTTTTTAAATTGTAAAACTGTAATTAACAGTGTTTCGTCATAAATTACTAAAGTCAAAGTCAAAGTATATTTATTCAATATAGGCCTACTTAAGCTCTTATTGAACGTCAACAAAAAATCTACCAACGGTTCACTAAACTAGACCTGCACAGAGAAGAACCGGCAAGAAACTCTGCGGTCTTGTTCTTTTTGTTATATATTTTTTGATGCAATTATACACACTTATTTAGGTATAAAATCAGCAGCAGCCAGGGGTCTTGCAAGTGCAGAGCAAGAGTCATTTCCAAAAATCCTTGTCCTCAATGTATTCTTGGATATTATAGTAGGCCCTTTGTTGTTTATTTGTTTGAAATTAATTGTTTGAAATTGTTTATACTTAGTTGTTTGTGGATGTCACCTATTTTATTATAAAAGTTGATGCATCTTCCAAGAAACCACTTTAGCCAATCTAAACCTCGGTACTTCCAGAGTGTCACCACGGCCCCGATGCGATGTGGATTGTTTTTTCGTAAATAGATGGATGTTCTTACGTACATACATGATGTTCTTACGTACATACATGTGGATATTCTTACGTACATACATGATGTACTATTCAATGTAACTCATATTCGTCCCCAAGTTTTGGAGCAGGAATTTTTTGAAGCCGCTTATTCTGACGAACACGTCGGGAGCGCCAAGGGCGCATGGGAAGCCCCACGACACGATCCCGATCTGATGTCCTGTCTTCCGGGAAACCAACGCACTGCCAGAATCTCCCTATAAACAATTTTACGGTTATGTCTGTTAAGTAAAGTTCTAAGGTAAAAAAAAGTAAAGTAACAGCCTATACATGTCCCACTGCTGGCCAAAGGCCTCCTCTATACAGAGTGTTTCAGGGCATAGTCCACCACGCGGCCCCACTGCGAATTGGCGGACTTCACATATCTTCGAAATATATATTTTTTTGTTATTATTTCGAAAATATGCAGGTTTCCTCACGATGTTTTCCTTCACCGCGGAGCACGTGATAAGTCAGCACATAAAGTTAAAAACTTTATTGGTGCCGGCACCGGGGATCGAACTCAGGTTACTCGAGTACATTGAATTAAATGCGAGCGCCCGGACACTGAACTATCACGGCTCATCGGTATCAAAGTTCTAAAGTACTACTTCTAGCATCAAACGGCATCAAAGTTCTGAAATACTACTTGAAAGTAAAATTTTATTATTCATTCAAATTATCCTTGTTGGTATCCTGCCCAAAAATAATTTAGCAACATCACACATTAGACACATTTAACTGATACAAATAGTCGATGGATTAAGGTCATATGTTATTGAAGTCTATCTACCCCTATATGAATATTGAAACATAGTTGTCATTAACTGCGATAAAATGGCAGCAATAATCAGACTTTATAAATATTACTTACGTTGCACATGCCGTGTCCCGGCGAATGGAAAGTGCATATCTCTATTTTAGAGTCAAAACGAGGTTCGTAGCCCCACCACGTGGAAGCCTCGCGTATACCCTCAACACACTCCTTGGCAGAAATGGTCTCTAGGTAAAGCAGCTGCAGGTAATCGGGAACTGGATACCAATTCTGGAAAAAAAAATATTGAATAATTATTCACTTGACGCTCTGTTTTGACAAATTCACTCCAATCAAGCCTGTCGACTTATTTAGATTATTATTGCTGAATATAGTATACATTAAGGATGAGAATCCAGGCTACAAATCACTAGTATCTGTCTACATCGGAATGGTGCAAAAGCTGACTGTCTCACTGTACCTTCGTCCTGTGTGAGACCTCAGGGTCTCAGGCAGCACTAAGTTACAAAGTCCTCACCTCATTGTTAACCAGGGCTGCCGTCAGCTTTGCATCTCATTATTAAATTATCAATAATAGGTCTCCTTACCCCAAGTCTGCCCCAACCTGTCACGTAGCTCTTCTCGCCGTCATCTGTCCATTTAAAGCTCAAAGCTATGACGGCCACTTTACTGCTGAACTCCAACTCCTTGGTGAGATATAAAACTCCGATGTCGTTTTTGATAGTAGCCCAGTCCCATTCCGGGTGGTTAACATAATGGCTGAATCTGACGATGGTGCCAGACTCCCACCTAGTTGAGCCTACAACCGCGTGAAAGGATCTGAAATCATATGAACGGTTCAATAATGAAAATCTTTGTAATATAGACAAAAGAAATCAGATTCGATACTTGACCGGCTTTGCGATTGGAGAGTCTTTTGGAGACTAAAGCAAATTAACTTTCACAGCGTTAATGGGTTTACTACTTAAGTTCAGATCATCAAGAGAGGTAGTGTGGTTAATAAAAAAGCTTAAAATAAATGAAATATTGTAAGCTACTTACGGATGCAACTTATCACCCCATATGACAATCGGGTCTATGCAATGGGCGGCGGTAAGTATGTGCCGTTTGGAGACTATGGAACCACCGCAAATCAAGCTTTTGATGATGTAACCCCGAACTAGGGCGGCCATATGAGGTGCGTACCCAGGGGGCGCTTGCTCTCCACCCACTATTCGCGACCTGCTGCCACCATCCGACATCTCAAAGGGATGCCCTGAGAATAAATTGCGTTGCAAGTTAGAAACTCAAAATTTTTTTTTATGCGAAAAGTTGCCAAACGAGCAGACGGTTCACCTGATGGTAAGTGAATACCGCCGCCCATGGAACAACATTTTGAAAATTGGGCTCCGGCTACCTCACTCACCAGACGAAACGCGAAAGTATTTGTCATACTTCCACTTTACGCTGGTCTTCTGTGAGGTCGTGGTACTTACCCGGACAAGCCTGCCCATACATGCAACAGCAGAGGCCGCTGCGTGGCCCTACCACCGTGAAAATCATCTTGACCATTATCATTTCAGCCTGTTTTATTCCAATGATGATCAAAGGCCATAGACTCCGCGAAGGACGATCCTAAGCCACTTGCATCCATTGACTGCCCGCACATTTGCACATGACGTCATTCCATCTCATGGGATGGAAGGGTTGTCCGACACTGTGATGGCCAATATTTGGCTGGAAGTCGAGAACCTTTCTTCCCCATCACATAAACTCACCACCGATCAATTCCTCAAATGTTTGCCCAAAAATAATTTTAAAATCTTTTTGCACCAGATACAATTTTTATTTTTAAATACTAAAAAGCGAGATTATTAAGTCCTAGCCGTGACAAGCCGTGACAAAAGTCACGGATAACAAGAGCCATGTAATCATATTCCAGGCACTGTCACCTATAACTACACTTAATTAATAACAATTAAGGCAACTATTTCTTATTTACCAGTAACAGCGACTCCAAGTGCTGCGACAATTGCTAGTGTTGCTAACATTGTACTACTCTCGATTTAGGTAAAGTGTTGCTTTCGATTTAATTCAATTCATATTTATACGAAAGGTATCTAGCAGTATCTAAGGTATCAGCGGATTTATTTCCTTATAATGAATTTCAACAATAGCGCGTCCGTGACAAATGAGTAAAGATAAAGAAACCGTTATTAATTGAAGACATTTTAATAGAATAGTCCTTAAACCTATTATAATACGTCGATACGATTCTAATTTAAAATTGATCATTCATAACATAATCGATGAACTCTCCATTTTGAATGGAAACATTTAATTCACTATAGAGTATAGACGAATACAAAAGGAAAATAGACGATTTAAAACAGTATCGTTTAATCTAAATGGGAATCACCAATGAATGCCTTTTATTATGCCAAAAATTTACATTAGGTGTTTGCAAAAAACTTTTTGTTACATACCTAATATAAGTTATCATAAAATAAAGGATCAATAAGGTTACCAAAGTGTGATACGTATTTTCATTATACAGCGTGTCGTTACCATCGCGACAATAAATGAACACACGTCTAACGCAACTTACCAATAATCGAAAAAAAATATTAACGTTTAACAAAATCCATAATTAAAAAAAAATATTTTTCAAACAAACTAATTAAGTAAAAAAGAAACAAAATTTGTAACATCCTATACAACTCGCGCCACAACGTCGCATTACAAGCCTCTCCTTCTAACAGTATGTTTTGTCTCTTTTAAATTCATTCAACCCATTCATATGCTTTGTGACCTTTACAAATGAACTTTACGTTTACAGTTTTATACGTAAGGGTGTTCTAAAATTCTTTGTTTTGGAAAATTTAATAACTCGGTAAATATTGATGTTTAAAGAATGTAAATGTTTAATACAATTTTTAAAAGTTATCCTCTATATGTGTGTTCATTTATTGTCGCGATGGTAACGACACGCTGTATAAATAATAATAAGAATTATCGCTAACGCTAACGCTAAATTATCGAGCGTAACATGATCTAAGGATTTTGAGGGCTACAATTAGATACTTAAGTTGTAAGAAATTATTATGAAGATTTAAAATCTTTTCTTTAATAAGTTTTGTATAAAATTTTGGTAATATTTTAATCTCGAACTATTAAACAAATTGACAATTTTGGCTCTAAAAGAATTTATATAATCGCTAAACAAGTCAATAGTCTTTATCTTTAATGACATATCCGTTACATTCTGCTTATTCCCGGTATAAGAGCATGATGACCAAGTTTAGTTTTGTACAATTTGATTTGATTTTAATTAATTAAGAGGCAGTCAGTCGATTTATATACAAATTAAGTACCTAATCAAATATTGGAAAGTTTATGACAAGATTTAGAAAATAATCTAACATTTTCCTTATATCGAAAATCACGAATTACATCATTTCTTATTCTTTAATGTAAAATTGCTGAGAGATGACCCGTTTAGCGAGAAATTAAAAACAATCAGTAAATAAGTAAAAACCATAAGTAGTAAGGGTAAAATGTATATATTTACGTAATCATAAATTAATTTTTGTTATTTATGTATGTTGTTTTCCTTACGTCTCCGGCATTAATCAATAATATTTTTTTCCTAATTTTTATTTCAAAATCAGTGCGTTAACCTCAAATTTCAGACAATAACAAACCTTTAGACATTTATTTATCAAAACATGATAATAAGGAGTGCAATGAAATATTAAAGTCACGACAGAAAACAATTTTTCACTCACCACTCTACTAATCACCTCAATAATTTTGATACGTTTGATAATCGAGTGACTTGCTTTTTTTTTGTTCCTGTAAAAGTTTTGCTTTTACAGCGTGTCGTTACAACCGCGACAATAAATGAACAGACATATAGAGAATAACTTTTTAAAATTGTTGCATTTACATTCTTTAAACATCAATATTTACCGAGTTATAAAATTTTACAAAACAAACATTTTTAGAACATCCGTACGTATAAAACCGTAAAGTTCATTTTTAAAGGTCACAAAGCATATGAATAGGTTGAATGAATTAAAAAGAGATAAAACGTACGGTTAGTATTACAAATTTTGTTTCTTTTTTATTTAATTACTTTGTTTGAAAAATATTTTTTTTAATTATGGATTTTTTTAAACGTTTTATATTTTTTATGATTATTGGCAAGTAGCGTTAGGCGTTTGTTCATTTATTGACGCGGTTGTAACGACATGCTGTATATTAATCCTATAGCAAAATTATTGCACATCTTTTCACACTAATGGTTATTTGGCGCAACCTTATATATTTTATAGGAAGTGATACCTTACCTTAAATCTGATAACTTTAAATTTAACTAAGGAATGTGTAGTAGGATATTCTTATATTTTTGCTTTAGGTAGATAGAAAAATACTGAAAGGTGAAAAAAATATTCAAATTAATCTTTTCTCTTTTTTTTTTACCCGACAACGGCGATTCCACAAAAGGTGTGTTCCAAAAAAATCCGTCCGTTACCGCAGTCCCTACGTTACCTCATAATTAAACAGCTGAACTCATATCGATGAAGCATTTTGAAATAATATATCGTGATATTCGTTGTTATTGCGAGTGTCACTGTATATTAAAATTATAAAAATCAAAATCGCCGATTATCGGTGGCATTCTACCGCAGTCAGGATTTTTGCTTTTTTGTGCCACAAGTTAAGTGAGTAGCACAGTGATCTGCCAACCTTATCTGTGGTAAAGCCACTCGGCAGCTTCAGCTGTTGCAGCAATGGGCAGGCCCGTCCGGAAATGTACCTACCACAGCCTCACAGAAGATCGGCTCGAAGTGAAACTATAATACTTTAGCATTTCGTCTGGCGAGTCTAGTAACCGGAACTGACTTTTTTAAGATTGTCAACGCATCGCATTGCGGCCCCCTGTTGTAATTGTCTATGGGCGGAGGTAACGAACCTTCTTTATAATCGATAAACCGTAGATTAGTTCAAATTTGAGTTTCTAGCAATCATTCTTTGTTATAAATTTATCACTAGGTACAGACATTTTATTGGGAGCCTAATCATTGGTACATGTTCATGAAGATTTTCTAAGACCATTCGATAATTCCGCGTGGGCTACAAACACATCTAAAACGTTGAAGTTATATGCATAATCCAAAATCCAATGATGTTTCAATAAAAATGACGTTTGTCGATACTGCGTGACGTTTAAAATTGTACCGCTTTGGAATATATGACATAAAATACAAATAATGTGACAGATGATATAGAACGTATGATACGCAAAGCGAAAGCAGTCTACAACAATGTAAAGTTGCAATGTAATTACACCAATTGCCGTAATTTTAGTGCCTCAGTTTCGGTGCGCTAGTGACATATCATCTACCTCTTATTTATATATAGTATTTGTATATTGAAGCAATGGTCTGCGTCTTGCGTGTCATGGTGTGTAAATGTTTAAAAGTGCAACTATTGACAAAATTCAAATATTGATTTCTACGGGAAATGCATACATTGTGAGATTGGCATAAAACAACATAAATTGAAGTAATACTGCAATCTTTATTTTTTCTTAACCTAACACAACCATTACATTACTTTTTCTGGCTGACATTGACATCTTTTTCTTCTTTATCAATCATCGAGAACAAATAGTAACCAGGTTAACACAGATAATAAAGATTAATAATCTCTGTAATAAGGCTCATACATAAACAAAGCAAAATACACAAAATAATAATGTGATCCACACGAATCTTCTATTTGACCAGCAAGGGCATTAGAAATTCCTTAAAGGCGCTGACTCTGACAAAAACGTCGGGCGCGCCAACAGCGCAGGGAAACCCCCACGACACAATCCCAATCTGGTGACCCGTCGCCTTTGAAACCATAGCACTGCCTGAGTCACCCTAAAACGGTATTAATTAATGCATTAAAAAACAGTTTTAAAGAGCGAAAAAGAAAGAAAGAAAAACGTGTATTAAATCGGAAACATTATCAAGGGAATGGTTTTGACATATCTTTTGAAGAACTAATCTGTTCGTGTGAATTTTGGGATGAATAGCGTCTATCAGAGATATCCGTTCACAGGAATCATTTAAATTCAAGCATCAATGTCTCACATTGTTCTCCATGGACGATAGCAGGCTTACCACACGTCACATTAGTCGTATAAATCGGTAATCGGCAAAATATCGATTACAGTTATTGGTAGACAGAGATATCGATGTCTATATCACTGTCATAACCCTACTTACATTGCACATGCCATGTCCGACAGAGTGGAATGTGCAAATCTCTGTTTTGGGGTCCATCGGCGGTGCAGGGCCGTATTTGTCGGAGGCCTCTCGCAAGCCCATAGCGCAGCTCTGAGGCGATATCGTCTCCACGTACAGCAGCTGAAGATCGTCGGGTATGGGAAACAGATTCTGAAAGATAACACTGACATATACTTCGCGGCAACTGAAGCTGAAAAACTGGAAGCTTTTAGACCAGCTTCCGATAGGCCTGATGCAAAAGAAATCGACCATCTTGCAAAACTACGGTTAAAATATTGCACTACTACTTTTAGATTATACGTTTTTGTCACGAAGTCCACCTCACCATCAAACTCGTGCTAAATGACTCGGTTGGCCGGAAAAGAAGTGATTAGGAAAAAGTGATTAGTGGTAAGAGGTTATGTAGGTTATATATGGTAGAAAATGCCATTAGGCATTAGGTTCGCCCATTGCAGCCCTTAGCTGAAGGCGTAACAATAAAGTGTACATTAATAAGCAAGTTGTATGAATTTATGATGTATGTAGTTCGATACCCATAATATGGTTATTCAAACGGTGGTAGGGCCACGGGGTAGCGGCCTCGGCTGTTGCACGAATGGGCAGGCCCGTCCGGGTAAGTACCACGACCTCACAGAAGATCAGCGTAAAGTGGAAGTATGACAAATACTTTCGCGTTTCGTCTGGTGAGTGAGGTAGCCGGAGCCCAATTTTCAAAAGGTTGTGAACGCATCTGTAACCCTCGGGTGTAGCAGATGTCCATGAGCGGCGGTATTCACTAACCATCAGGTGAACCGTCTGCTCGTTTGGCAACTTTTACATAAAAAAAAATTACCCAGCAGAAATATACACAGGAACATAACATAAAGGCTTTGCAGGTAAGTAAGAATTATAAATTTGTATGTAAGTTTTTGACGACGGTAAAGACGGAACGATCACAGACCACGACGTCGTTTTCGATTTGAACCCCGACCCGTCCCCATCCGGTGACGTAGCTGTCCACAACGCCTTCGACGTAGTCAAAGCTCAACGGTACAACGGCCACTCGATCGTTGAGCCCCAGCTCTTCAGCTAAGAAGAGCACTCCAATGTCGTTCTTGATGTTAGCCGGGTTCCAATTTGGGTGGTTGATGTAGCGGCTGACCTTTGCGACGTTGTCGCTCGAGGCCCACTGGTTGGAGCCGACTACCACGCGAAAAGATCTGTGAAGAGAAATGTAATTTAAAACTATTTCTCTATAATACACTGTGGGGCCACGAAACAGCTTTTGTTGCACGAATGAGCAGGTCCGCCCGGGTAAATACCACGACCTACCGACGTGGATTAAGTGGGAGTGTCATACTTCTGCGTTTCGTCTGGTGAGTGAAGCAGCCGGGCACTTTATTATAATCTGGCAACGCATCTGCAACCCTTCGAGTGTTGCAAATTTGCATGGGCGGCAGTTGTTTACTTACCATCAGCTGAACTGCCAGCTCGCTTGAAAGCTTCACGCATAAAAAATAATGTTTGTAAATAAATAAATAGTCTACTTCAGACCCCAAAATATTTGATACTCTCTTTCAATATAGTAATCAGGTCCAACTAGGTCGTTCGATGTTATTTGATGCTTTCCAGTACATTGCGATATCAAAGATAATCATTACAATATTCATTTAAAGATTACATTATCAGAGACACCAACTATTACATTTAAAGTCTAAATAACTTTATATTATTCCTCAACAATTCCGGTACTAGCTGACTATTCAAGCCGGATTTACTTTGACATATAGGACAGTCTGTATTCTTAAATGTATTTTAAACTTATTTTCAAGGTATTGGCTAAAGCGTAGGGGGACAACTATTTCAATGACCCTCCTCTCACCTCTCTTCTCCATGTGAAGTTTTTAGACGTTTATTTTTAAAACGTCTTCACAACATAAGATAATGTTATCCTACAAAGACAAGACAATATTTTTGAATGGAAAATAATAAAAAAAATATTCTACTCACGGTAATAGTTCTCCGTGTACCACCATAGGATCGATACAATGGGCGGCAGTGAGCACGTGGGTGCTGGTGACTATAGATCCTCCACAGACCAGACTCTTGACAGCTTCGCCCCATACTAGTGCTGCCATATGCGGAGCGTATCCTTCAGGGGCGGCCACACCCCCTATGATCCGGGACGATGGATCCAATTTATGGTGTCCCACAAACGGGTGGCCTGAAAGCGTTTGCTTTAAACGTTACAAACATAACAATAAATAAACATGATGACTCCGTGGCGCATTTGCCAAGGTATTGGCTTCGGCGTGGGGGGTCGTGGGTTCGATTCCCACACGGGACAATACACTGGACCCACAGATAGTTGTTTCGCATCTGGTTGTTTGTTCACGTGAAATTTATGTTTGTAAAACGTCCTTACAACACTGGATAATGTTATCCTAAAGTGAGGGCAATGTTTTAAAAAAAAAACAAACAATAAAAAAAATAAAAAAAACAAACAATAAGATAGGATTGACCGTGTGGGACGTGTTCGATTCCCGGAGGTAATGTCGTTCCGTGAGAGCTTAAAATAAGCCTATATTGAACAAAGAAGCTTTCCGACTTTTGACTTTGAATCGTTACAACGCACGTGCAAACTGACCCAGGTACTAACTTGTGTCGTTACGTAACGTACTAAGGCCATCTTTGTCTCCGTAGTATTATTATAAATTAAATATAATCGGATTCACGTAAATTGCAGTAGGAAAAACTAGGGTTTGCACAATTGTACCGTCACACAAATTTTGAAAGAAATACTTGGTCGGAGTTGTTCATGAGCCTGCCTTTTAAAAATAGACGGCGGTGGGAAATGGTAAGATAATAAATATATAATAAATATTTTAGGACATATTCTTACACAAAGTTTTCTAGTCCCAAACTAAGCAACGCTTGTACTATGGGTATTAGATAACTGATAAACATATTTTTCTTTTGGAAATAAATACGTGATATAAACATGTTATTATTTTATTTCAATAAAGGTGGTTAAAACTTTAGGATAAAATTATCCTGTGTTATAAGGACGTTTTACAAACATAAATTTTACCCGGACAAACACCCAGATGCGAAACAACTATCTGTGGGTTACACAAACAGTTGTCCCGTGTGGGAATCGAACCCACGACACCCGACGCCGAAGCCAATACCTTGGCAAATGCGCCACGGAGTCATCATGTAAACGCCCAGACACACACTATTTTCACCACACAATATTTTCCAGTAGTGGGGATCGAACCCACACCCTCTGGCGCAAGAGGCAGGGTAGTGACGCATCAGGCCAATTTAATTTAATTAACTTTATTAAACAAATACGTACCGTCGGTTGAAACAATGATCACTGCTACTAAGCCGAAAATTTGCTCAAAAGCCATTTTGCTTTCCTTTCGTTGAATAACGCAAACAACTCTCATTACTACGATGCGTTCTATGTGATCTACTTTAAATATGCCTTACTTTTCCCACTTTTGACAAAGACAGATAGCGCTAAGTAGTTCGTGCAACTTTGACTTTCATACCGATATCGAACTCAATAGATAAACTAGGTTATCTAAATGCTTTTGTGAACTCAAATACATTAATATAATGAAACCTGCTTGCGTCTTAAATATGGTCTAAATACGAACGTTCAGACAGTGTTTCTGATAGCTTAAGCCGATAACGCTGGAAAAAATGCGAAAGTTATAATTCTTTTACAATTGTATGACGAGATGGTTTTAATGGTATTATTGCAATTAATTTCAATCAGAGCCGTGATAGCTCAGTGTCCGGGCGATCGCCTCTATTTGAATATACTCGAGCAACCTGAGTTCGATCCCCGGTGCCGGCACCAATGAAGTTTTTAACTTTAAGTGCTGACTTATCACGTGCTCCGCGGTGAAGGAAAACATCGTGAGGAAATCTGCATATTTTCGAAATAATAACAAAAAAAATTTTTTTCGAAGATATATGAAGTCCGCCAATCTGCAGTGGGGCCGCTTGGTGGACTATGCCCTGACACCCTCTGTATAGAGGAGGCCTTTAGCGAGCAGTGGGACATGTACAGGCTGTTACTTTTTGCAATTCATATTCATTTTCAACCATAGTTCAAGCTTATTTTACTCAAAATCTAGTTAGTGCTTGCCATCACCCTACCTAATGGTGAGAAGCAGCGGTGTAAAAGCACTACTCTTTTTTTATGTTAATAAGTGACAAACGAGCTGGGGGTTCACCTGATGTTAAGTGATAACCGCCGCCCACGGACATTTGCAACACCGGTTGCAGATGTGTTGCCACCTTTTAATATTGTGGACCCTGGCTACCTCACTCACCAGACGAAACGCAGAAGTGTAACACTTCTACTCTAAGCCGGTCTTCTGTGAGGTTGTGGTACTAACCCAGATGGACCTGCCCGTTCCTGCAACAGCGGATACTGTTGCATGGTCCTACCACAGTTAACTCAATAAAGGAGACCTACCTTGAAAACATACTCTCTTAGTACACTTTACTAACAAGCACCCAAAGTTAAATATTTAAAACACCCGGCAGCGTAATAGCTGAAATCTTCAAAAAGCCACACAGAACAAACATACATAGGTGATAAACACTTATCCTGTTTGTCGTCTCGAATAGATAGGACGATATCCTCTTGTTGGTAACTAGTGGAATGTCCACAATGAATGAGTCGAGGTCAGATGATCATCTACCCGGATGATGATGGACGACAAAGAGACGAATTTAATGCAAGTCCCATGTATTTTCCCCGAATACGTACATCGAGAGGCTGGTTACTCTGGTCTACTCGAGATAGTTTTTACCGCCTCGTGGTCATAAAACTGTTTGTTGATAATAAATAAAGCCAAATAGTTTAAGTTCAAGGTTTTGGTTAAAAAAAACTTTAAAAGCATAATTATCGGGTGTGGAAACCATATCTTGGGCGGTGACAAACCAAGGGTGCTCGCCTTTAATTCAGTATACTCGAGCAACCTGAGTTCGATCCCCGGTGCGACAGAATGATTTTAAAAGTTATAAATCCGAAATAAAGCAATCTCTTTATTATATTTCCCTGATATTCAAACTCGCATCCTTTCTTTCCAAATCTTCCGAGTCACAAACGCATTACTATGAATTATGTATTTATATATGTATGTATACAAAGATATTGTTCAAACTGTGTTCCATGTAGACTAATACTTCCTCCCTTGTTCAACAGCATTGTATATTTTAAAGCTATGAGTCAAGTAGAAAATTTTCATGGTCCATCCTACTTTCTAATTCTACATGTGGCTGCATGTGCGCCATGTCATACTCATGTAATAAAATGCCTTTTACATAAAAATTTTAACCGTATTTGATTCTCGTATACCTATTAGGAATCTTTTAATATTTAAAATGTAAAAACAATTTCTCAATTAGATTAATATTGAAATAGAAACGAATTAAGAGTTTAATGAATATTTTAAAGCCAAAAAGAAACAATTTTGAATTATTGTATTTTGTTTTGTTAAAAAATATAAGTTATTGTTGAATTGATCAAATCATATTTTCTATGATTGTGGCAGTTAGTTATCCTTTATGCCAAGGATCATATACATTCATATTAACCAAGTTTTAAAACTGTCTTTACTTTTATTAAAAAAAAAACGTAACTAAAATATTCAAAAGTAATTATTACATTAAAAAAATGTATGTAAACTTGTATATACCATACAAATTATACATTTTAGTCAACTGAAAAAATAAAAAATACTTCGTGATTTTTAAATATAAAAGTTATTAAAAGAACACTTAAAATTCAAATCATAATATAATTGTTTTGGTTTGTATTAGAAAAAGTATAAAAGCGCGCGAAAAATACTTTTTAATTTATAATTGGATCAATTAAAAGAAAGAAACCTTTTGATCAGTAATTTAAATTTTGAATTGTTTTTGAATTCATAGTGAAACTTAATAATGAGGGTAGAAATGATTAAAGAACATAAATGTTTTCATACCTTCTTATTTCTTTATTCAAACCATCATTCGACACGAGAACAAAATCAGAGGTACGTAAATTAAAATAATTATGTCTTGTAATTTGTGACTTTTTTTTTGTAAGTTTACCTACATTTCTTGTAAGAAACTCATTATAGCAGTCAACATGGATTTGTCGTGTTTGCAGCGTTTTTTTCGAGAAAAATGGAGCAAGAGATATTTTCAATGGGAACGGAGATGTTGTACCCGGTGCTGCTTATACCGAAAAGGTGTACCACCCTGGAGACCACATGTGAAGTGACCGACGATGTGTTTATAGACCTGAGTATCACCTCTACCGATACGGAAGGTAACAAAATGTGCTTATATTCGGGTTTTTGTAATATCAAAGTTATAGAGAACTATGATGTCGATACCCGCGAGGGTTCATCGTCCTCACCACCGGATACGAATGATTTAGATCCAATACAAGTGGTAACAGAAGCGAACGCTCAATCCTCGTATCCTCCATACAGCCAATCCCAGGTGTGGATAGACCCGGCACGTAGCCCCTTCGTGTACAACAACTATGATGCGTCAGAGTCACAAGGTAGATACTCCGTGTACCACCACCAAACCCACTCCAGCCACATAACTGTTGAGCAGCACAATACATATATAACTCAAAATGTGTACAACTGTTCTGAGCCCGTACACTATTCACCAGCCGAGGAGTTCGAGCACAAAAAGTTCCGAAAGATTCAGACGGGCGACCCTAACCCTCAGAACAGTTCAGCTGAGCCGAACAACCCATATGAAGATGACGAGTTTGAGTGCGGGGTGTTCCTGTCTCAGCTGTCCGAGGAGATAATCAATGAGAAGGAAGCAAGGGCCAGGGAGGAGCTTCGTTACATTGGGCTGCAGAGTGAGAATGATGCGTTGAAGCAACTCATGTCAACAGATATACAGTCAATGTCCAAACAGCAGAAGACTATACTGTTCTTAGGCCATGACTCCCACTACGGGCAGACAATTCAGAAGATTGCTGTTAATGATCCATCGTTGGAATGCGTTGCTGGTAGTGAATTGGACTATGAAATAGTCGCTGGTGAGTAATAATTTGTCTAAAGTACCAAAACTCTCAGGTTCTATTTATGAAGTAAATAAAATATATCATACTTTATTGCTGAATAAAAACAAATATATTCAAAGTAGAATTTGTTTTTAGTTTATTTAAGCATATTAAATATATGTATTCAGTTTATTATTCAGTTAAGTTTTTTTTTTACTTTTCTTTATACAGAGAAGTCAAGGAAACAACTTTTAGAGCTAAGTTTTTATTTGCTATATTTTTTCACAGTTTTGAGTCATAAAAATTAAAAACAAATAGTATGTTTAATTATTACAATCATATCTCAAAATTATAAGAAAAAATATTGATTATTCCATCTTATATATAACATATTCTTGATTCAGAGATACATATTTCATAATTGTGTGACAGTTGACATTAACAATGTAAGATATACAAAAAACAAAAATATAGATACAGATCTTGTCTTGGATCATTCATAAGGTGCGGGTACAATTTCCATTACTGGAAAAAATTTTACATATATATATATATATATATATATATATTTAAGTATGATTTTAGTATGGGGCTAGATAATATTGTTTAAAAATATTCCATAAGGGTTTTTTTTTTTGGTATGCTTTGCTTAGATGTTTGCCACTTGTCCTTCTTAGCGTTATATGAGTTTTCAGCTACCAAATGCAAGTGGGCATGCTTGTTGTATTTTGTGTACAGTAGACCATCAGTTATTTAGAGCAATGGAGGGCTAATATTCCGAATAGTACGTCTCGTTTTTCAAGCTAGAAAAAAAAATTTAATCTATAGAGGAATGTTAATAACTAAATATTATATAAGTTATAATCAATGAAAATTATGAGGAAAAAATTAACAAACTTTTTAAATTTCATACAACTGAAATCCGTCATTACTGTGCGTCCATTATTCATTATAGACTATTTTAAGTTAAAAACTTACGTTTTCACTTTTTACGTTACAAATACACAGATATATCCCAAAAACACAAGTTTCTACTTCATGGACATGTATTAATAACAATTTCTAAAATTTTAAATTAGTGACTTAGTGTACACTTAATGTCTCGAATATTAGGTTCAAAATGAGTCACAGATCCGACACAGAGCGATCCGGCTCGGATAGGTTAGGTTAGACCTTAGGTTAGGTTAGTTAGCCTTCGTTGTTAGGTTTTTTTTTTATGACCACCCAGAAAACTTTAGTGTAACAGTACTTTTAGTATTTTTAAAGACTCTTTTTTAATAATGCGAAGATTATAATTTGGAAAAGTGTGTGAATTCGTAAATTTACACATGTTGTCAAACACAAAATGGCGGATTTATTTAGTGAAAATAACAAGTTTTAAATATTTTTTTTTTATTAAAAGTAAGTGTTTGCCTTTGTTTTCATGTATGTAATATTTATTTATTAACGTTTCTCTATCGATTAAATTTTTTTTCTAGCTTGAAAAACGAGACGTACTGTTCGGAATTTTTACCATGGAACAACAGGTGCCACCTTTTAATTTAAAGGGCCCCAGCTGAGGTAGCTCACAAGACGAAACGCAGAAGTATACTACTTCCGGACCTGCTCATTCATGTAAAAGAGAAGAATTGTGTGACCCTATCACAAAATATTTTTATTAATTGCAATAAATTCGATATAATTTCGAGCAACTTCTATTCAATATTCGACGAACGGAATGGCGTAGTGGGTAGTGTACCTGTTTCATGCGTCAGGGTGTGGGTTCGATCCCCACTACTGGAAAAATATTGTGTGATGAACATAGTGTTTTTCTAGTGTCTAGGTGTTTATATATGTATAATATGTATTTATTTACAAAAGAAAAGTATGTTTAAGTATGTTTATCAGTTATCCAGTACCCATAGTACAATTGCTTAGTTTGGGACTGGAGAACGTTGTGTAAAAATGTGTCCTAAAATATTCGTGTCTCTGCCTACCACGTCAGGTGTAAAGAAGCTAGACCTCGCTGTTGTTTATCAAAAGGGATCTGTATCAACTTTTCAGACAACAACAACAGGCCTAACCAGAAGAGGTATCAGTGCGACAAGTGCAAGCAGATATTCGACCAGATCGCCGCGTTCAAGCAGCACATGGTGGGCACGCACAGGCAGTCGAGGGACGCGGAGGCTTCCAGCAGCGAGGGCGAGGTGAAGTTCCTGTGCACCGAGTGCGGGAAGAGCCTGAAGAGCCAGGAGAAGTTCGAGCTGCACTGCCTCGGCCACGGCGACCCCGAGCTGGAGTGCAGCAAGTGCCGCAAAGTGTTCGCGTCCAAGTTCACGCTGCGCACGCACCGCAAGATACACTACAGGAAACACCAGTGCGACTTCTGCACGAAGGCGTTCAAGGGGCCCGACGAGCTGCGCGCGCACGCGGCCAAAACGCACTTCGTGTTCGCCTGCCACAGCTGCGAGTACGCCGCGGACAGCTACGAGGAGCTGCTGGGGCACAACGTCCGCCACGTCCAGGCGGCGGCGCGCGACTGCGGCGACGCGTCGTGCGGCTCGGAGCGCGCCACCCCCTCCCCGCCCCGCTCGCCCTCCCCCCGCCCCGCTACGCCGCCTTCCCCCCGCCCGTCGCCCCCCACACCCGCGGCGCCCGCGCAGCGCCCCACGCGCGACGAAATCCGCGAGGCGGACTCGGTCATAGCCAAGGTCATGTCCAACAAGGTCTTCCTGCTGCACGCGAAGAAGGCGAAGAAGCACAAAAGATACAGAAAGGTGTGTGTGTGTAGCTGTGGGCGTGGAAGGTGGCGGCTACGAAGGAGGCGGGTTCAAAACCCGTTCCACTTTGGCGGATGGTTTAGTTTTGTGGCTAAGGGACATCGGTGAAATGTGAATAGGGAACAGTCGCTTCAGTCTGAGACGATATCTCGAATCGTCCGAAAAGTGCAATCAGTAGGTGACTCGAGTCAATGTAATCATCACCATCCAGCACTTATCCCACATAGGTGACGTCAACCCTCCTTCGGAACGAACGCCTGGATCCAAAAAAAACTCTGTGGTTCACCCAAATACAGTTCTGTGCTCGAATCTAACCCACGACCCCCGAAAATAATAGATTAGCAATTGCGCCGCCGAGACATCAAATAGCTCAACTGACCCATTCATTATCATTATGGATTTAAACTTGTAACTTCTCTTAAAATGCAATTTATTTTTAATTTTCAGTCTTGTGACGTCTGCTCGAAGACCTTCGACCGGATTGGCGATTTAAAGAGGCACCTAATCGAGCACGTCATCAGGAGCACCTTAGCGAAGAACCCGGTGAACAAAAACGGCACCCTGAACATCCAGTGCGAGGTGTGCCAGACGGAGAGCTTCACCAAAGTGGACAGGTACAAGGCGCACTTGCGCGAACACGCCAAGCTGACACTCTACCAGTGCACGTTCTGCAACAAATCCTTCAGCGACTCCAGCAACTTCTCGAAACACAAGAAGATCCACGGCGCCATCTACTTCCAGTGCGACCTCTGCCAGAGGAAGTTCAACTCGAAGAAGATGATCACCCAGCACATGGAGTACCACAACAACAACTCCCCGATCAAGTGCTTCTACTGCAGCAAGGAGTTCCACTTCGAGTCGATGCTCAACAAGCACATAAAGTGCGCGCACACGAAGGAGGTCTCCGCCAGGTTTCGCTGCAGATTCTGCCATCAGTACTTCAAAACGCTCAAAGAGAAGTGGGACCACGAGTGGAACGTCCACAACGTCAGGAAGATGATCGTGGACTGCCTCATATGCGGTTCCAAATTCAGGAAGTACTCGGAACTTAAGCGGCATTGTAACGACACCCACGGCTTGGAAATACCGCCCGCCAAAAAGTTGCTGAAGAAAGACAATTCCGAATGAAGTTTTTACTATATTGCGTATGGTTCAGTATTTCCATACTTAACGTACGTAGTACTTAATATGTGCAAAATAGAGGCTGGACCTCTAAAGTTGATTTTAATGCCATCTATCCGTACAATCGAGTACTACGTAATGTTCAATTCCTAATCGTACACTGTAGTTGTTTTTGTTTTGTTTAGATAAGTTTACGCTTGCCGTTGATAGTATAGTTGAATGTCAACATTTATCGGTTAAATTGAGCTCTAGCCACGAAGGTAAAATTTTGATTATCAGCTTTGCCGAAAACAATGCAGACTAATCAAAATCAAAACAGAGGCGTTGTACCACAGATAACGTATTTATTGATTATGCGCCAAAAATATGGAAACGATAAGTGTATATCGCCATTATCGCGAACGACGCTTTTCGCATTCCAGTACGATTCATGACATAAATTACGTTCAGTTTTTTTTTAATAATTTTTTAACACCATCATGTATTTTTATTCCATTTTTTACTATTTTCGTTTTTATCAAAAAATGAGCTGTTACAACTTAAATTAGTTTAAAAATTAACAGCGAAACAAAGTTTTCCTTTGATAGCTGTTGTTAATTTATTATGATGTTGTTGCGTTGTTTTTTGTTTAAATGCGTTATTTATTTATTTTTTGTATAAGAAATTATTTATATTAAAGGAAAGTGGCGGTCATGAACCGAGTCCATTAATCAATCGATCGTTTATGTGTTTTGAAGTTTATTTATAAATATTGATTGTATAAAACTGTTATCTACTTAATATAGTAGCTTTTATATCAAATGCAGTATACCCAGAAACTTCTAGCGCTTCGTTAGCGCCAACTAGCATAAAGTTAGTTTTCTCGCTAAGTTCACACTTATCGTCTTACAAATAAAGGCCTATCAACTGATCTCTGAAAATGAACTTAACGGCAATTGACATCTCTGAGTTGAGCCGTAAAAGGAAATTTATGTGAGTATGTACTTTTACCGTGTTATGATTATTTTATAGTTTCTATGATTTTTTTTGTTATCTAAGTTATAAATCAGTTTCTTTTTATAGATCCTATACCTGAAAATGGTATTTTCGTTGTTTTTACTTAAATGTATTCTTTAATATTTTGATTAAACATTTTGTTCATTGTTTTGTTTTAATCACATCACAACTCCAGTTAACAGTTTTTATGTCCTATAAGACAGGAGAAGGGTAGCTAGCAACTCAAATGTGGTAAAAACTGGGGTTCAATATGTAATCCCGTTAGACAGTTTGGAATAAAATATTGTAGGAGGTACCTTTTTTATCAATGTGCGCTGAAGCGCAGGGTTGATTTTAAAATCAGCCCCCGCGAACATATCAATGAATTACGCGTGCAGAAAGCGTTTGCGTCTTTCGTCTCTTTCCATTATTTCAGAAACTCCTATTGACTAACGTAGGTACGATTGAACCTTAATAGAATTGTTGAATGAAATGTTTTACTATAAATTGATGATTTGACTATTCCATATCGGTTACTTATTTGCACGGAGCATTGAAAACCACGCAATCAGTATCAAACCATTTAACAACACCCTATTCACAACGCGGTGGTCAACGAAGCAAAAAAAGAAAATTATAAATATTTTAAAATTTTAATTCTTTGTAAGCAATATTTTAGTAATGGATTAAAATTCTAAATTTTTATAACTAATATATATCGCGACCCGCAGGTCGCCGCTGTCCTAGTACGAATTGAACCTTAGTATACTATCCGTCTCGCTCTCGCGCACGACCTTGGTCGGTTGGCGCACGCGTTCTAGCGCCACCTGCTTCGTCCGACGGATTTCCACTTTTCACACAGTCCGCGAGAGCACGTCGTGTGGTCGCGTCTGTTCGTGCGAAGGCGCGAATCCGCAAAACGAGCGCGTAACTCCTGCAACTGTCAGATCATCAGTAATCCCAGACGTTGGTTTTTCTGTATTTATTCAATTGAACACCGTGACACCGGTTCGTGACGATCGCGTTCGCGCCGGAACGTTTGAAGCCGCTAAGGTCAGTAACTCTGTGTACGATTATCTATTGAGCCGTCACGTTCAGTCAATTCAATGTGTTAATAGTTCGAATCCCATACAGGTGCGGGATTTGTTTGTCCGTCTGTTTGTTGAGACGGGCGTGCATCATTCGGGTTTATTGCTGTCTAGCAATGGTATGGTTTTACGATCGCACAGTCGATATGTTGAGTAATGGTGCACTTAAAATTCCAACGAATCTGAACTATTTCTTTGTTTAAACAGAATCGTAAATTGTTTACAGACCGATTGGTAAATCTCCTACGGCGAAATTATACGTCTATTTGGTGTAATAATAACATGGTAATACCATTACAATAAAGCGTGATTTTATGTGATAATTTTAAAAACACAGACTTTCGTTGTTGGATGTATGCAGTTTTAAATTACTGACGTATATAATAACGTAAAATAACGTAACTTATATGATAGTTGCACATCGTGAAACTTTATTCGTCATATTGATTTTAGAATGCCGTATCGCGGAATAACACTGTAAATATTTATTCCGTTATCTATTTATAAAGGCGAGTAAGGGAAATTAACAACCAATACCTACGGTACAGCTTATCGCGAAGTCTGCTGTAATTCATTGCGTTCTAAAACGTAATAATATGTCAATACTATATGCATTATCTTTATTTAAATGTTTATTTTGTTTATAAGGTGAATTGTGACCATGCCACTGCTTTTCTTTATAAAAGGCCGATAGAATTTCGGTAATTGCTTTAATGCTTATATAAATTTGTTATGAAAATCCATTGTAATTTGTCTAATGGCTTTAATGTAAATTTTGTAGTGCCTTGAGTTAATTTATGACGTCGTTATATCTCAAGTATCGACCCTATGCGATAGATTAAAGAATATGGAAAGAATTAAATATTATGTAGATGGAAATTACATCCGGAAAAATTATATTTTGCCATAAGTGAGGAATATTGAAATAAATAAATTAATATTTTACCATGTTACGCACGACGAGTTGAAATTATTGAGTTTTCTAGGTAAATTTACTTGTATATTTGTAACAAAAATTTTTGAAACTGGTAAACATAACTAAAAATTTATTATATTAGAATTACTAAACGCTTTCTGCATTTAATACGTCTAATAAGTTTGTAGTCATTTAACACCTCAGTTTTCGATATTAAAACTGAAATAGTAAAATAAATATTTAAGGTATGTAAAAACTTAACTAAGTTAAATAATTAATTTGTTTCAAACAAAACATTGCCCCTACTATGGGATAACATTATTCTTCGTTGTAAGGAGACAGATACGGAACGAACACCTGCGTGTCACACAAATATTTGTGCCGAGTGAGAAACGAACTGACGACCACTGGCAACGAAGCTAATGTTACCGCCACCGCAGCACACTCCTACTACTGAACGATCCGCTAAGCAAATTGATAAGCTGGTTGCTATTATCCTCGTATTATTTTTGCCACAAGTCAACACGCCACCGCGGGGCACTGCCTCGAAAACCACTCCGCTTCGAAGCAAGCACTGCCGTCTGAATAAATACAGGCGTAATTGCCAATTTGCAATCGCATAACAAACCAAACATAACAAAACATGGCGTTGTTATTATACTATGTTGCTGTTTAATTTCGAGTATTCTAGACTCTATATTTAGCTTAGCGCGGCCGTTTTAGTAAATGGCGCGTAATTTTGACCGCTTATAATAAGAATAATAAACTTTATGTGCAGAGGAGAAAAAACAAAAAGATCGGAAGCAAAAAGGCTGAGTGCGAGATAATGCCTTTGTCATTGAGCCCGTCTTTGTACTTTTTGTGCATAAGGAATAAATAAATAAAAATATATACATAGTAATTATGAATACAGTTGACACGAAGGTAGAAAAACGCCACTGAATACGCAATTATTATAAAAATCGTTATTTCTTAAAACTTCAATATCTTTACATGAATTGAAACTTCACATGAATTATAATAAATAACTTTACATAAAGATATCAGGTTATTTTTTGTTATATTACGTTAAGTTAGAGTTTGAACATCATTTATGCTATGTCCAGAGAATTGATTGGAATCTCGACCACTTGGCGAGAAAAAAAGATTAAAGTAAAAATGCATTTGTCTACTTTTTTTTTGGGTAATTCTAATGAGTTTTACAAAGTAACTCCGCCTACTGTTTGCCCTTAATAAACACGGATTTACACCAAACACTAAGGTATTTCAACCTTGAACGATTAAGGTCTTTTGTGATAAGCGACTTAATATTCGTCGTGTTCTTGATCCTAAAATAAAATTCGTTTCGAAACTCTCACAAATCGTTGTGTTTTTAGTTTAAAACGGTACCCTATTAGTAAGACTCCGCTGTCTGTCACGAGGCTGTATCTCATGAACCGTAAAAGTTTGACAGTTGAAATTTTCAAAGATGATGTATTTCTGTTGCCGCTATAATAACAAATACTAAATAACAGAATAACTAAGTCTAACTATCACGGTTCATGAGATACAGGTTGGTGACAGACGTACAGACATACAGACGACAGACTGATCAACCGCTGGCGCAAGTGTGCGTTTTTAGTTATCTGTACTTTTCTAGTGTCTAGTGATAGATTTTTGGTAGACCGTGGTCATGATGCTCGTGACGCACACATTTCTATTTGAAACGTTAGTATCTTAAATTACAAATTTATAGAATATTATAAGTTTGTAATTAAAATAAAAAAAATATTTAAAACGTACTAACGTTACGTCTAAAGAACTTATACGTTTTTTATTCTATTACTTCAATATTATTTTATACGAGAATATTTGAATGTTTTTAACAAAAATTATTGCTCTTACTGTACAATAAGATTATCCTATGTAAGGAAGTTTTACACACATCGCCATTTGCATTTTTATTTATCTAATATTTACAAGATTAAATTACATGTTATCTACGAATCCACGCGGCATGGGTGCCAAGACGCACGCTAGCTGCA